GTATGTTTGTGTATAGATAAATCGTTATATTAAAATGTTTGCAACTGGCCTATTTATATAAAAATTTAAGAACCTAATCAAAATTAGTTCCACGTATGCATAAATGTTAGTACCCTCACTACGGAAACAAAAATGTTGTCAGTTATCTAAAAACTATATAGTTAAATGGGTTTTAATAAAAAGTAGCTTGCTGGTGGAGTGTATTTAAGATTCGTCATAGTCGAATATAGCACTCTTACTTGTTATAAACTCATTTTAATAACATAATGATATCATTTGACTTATAACAAATATTTTGTTAACTAAATGAGAATTATTGTTAGTATTCGGAATAATTCTTGTCCTTACAAGTTCAGAGCTTGCTTGGTTTAATCAATTCCGTTTTATATCGTCGCATAATTTTGAAGTTTTTTTTTTTTTGGAAAATTAGAGTAACTAATAGGGTGATCGACTCGATTTTTCAACCGTTTTTAAAACCGGTTTTTTCTGCTTTACCAGTGTCGGTTTTTTCTTAATGTTGATTTTTCGAATATCGAATAAACCGATTTTTTCACTTTTTAAAAACCGGGTTCGAATACTTTTATCTGCTTTGTATTTAAAGATTATTTAAATGAAATTTTTAAGTAAATAATAATACGTCCCGTCTAAATTTTAAAAATATTTGAGTCGATGAACTAGCGTATATTTTTTTACAGCTCCTTTGGTTAAACTTTTTTGATTTTCCTAATTAATTAAAAAATTTATTTGTAAAATTGATAACTGTTTGATAAAATTTTATCAATCTTAAGATTATATTCCAATTATAATAATTAATTTACGGCTGAAATTGTGTATGTAAGTGTTGGAATGCCTATGCAAATTTCCTAAACAGGGCTTTTAAAATAAGCTAGGATTACATAGTACCTTATGTTTAACAGAAGTGTCCCACTTTTTTCCTAATTTTTTTATATTAAAGAAATAATGTAAATCAGACAACTAGATCTAAAGTTATAATCTTTTAAACTGTTAAAAATCATTTCGGACCATGTTTTATTAATCAAATTTAAACATAAACATTAAGTTTTTCAAATTAAAATATATTTTTTTTTATTTATAATGGAAAACCGGTTAACCGGTTTTTGGAAAATGTCGAATAATCGATCACCCTAGTAACTAATCTCAAGGTTCGAAAAAGTAGATTGTCGGGACCAATTTTATAATGTAATCTTTACAGAACTTTTATTAATAACATATGAAAACTGTTATTAAAATCTATTAAATACTTTTATTTCTTTACAGATTCATCATACAAATCCTCTTGGGGATCCCATAGTTCAACACAATCTCAAGGTAAGTGATAATTTCAAAAACTTTTTAAAGTACCTTTAATATATTAACACAAAATATTGAAAATTTGCTAAGTTTTTACGATATAGCAAAACACACACCCAATTGAAAAGAACACGCTCCCACAAAATAAAAAAAACATATTTCCATTTCCTGTGTAGATTGTAATAAATGTTAAAAAAATAACATATAAAACTGGCTTCAAAAAAAAGAAGGTGTCAAAAAGTATGATTGGCCTTTTTTGGGTAAAAGTTAAATATGTGTAAAAAGGTGTTCCACAAAAAAATCCACCCACCAAACAAATACATAAACATAAAACCACACATATAAATGTATATATTTACACCTAGGAATGTATGATGATAATTCAGGATGTAAAGTTGTTGTTTGATTTTTTTGCGTTTTCTATATATTTCCCAGGAGTTAGGGGGTGTTAATAATAATGATGAAATGTAATGAAGCGTTAACATGTTTATGTTGAACAATATTCAACAATCAACATACATATTTATTTATTGATTGTTAACAACTCATAAATATTTACACGTATATTTTTATGTCATTTACATGATTATGAATTGTAAGTGCGAACAGGGGTCTATTACACATTTGTTACGAAAGAGAAAGGGCTCTCCCTATGTCACATTACCTGTTATTTCTTGTCGTATTTGTTGAGTTTTTGATTATTAACCACCACAAATATACACCAGTCAATCTTATTAAATATTCAATGATCCTTGATATTCAATGCATGAATAAATGATAGTAAATCAACAGATATTTAAACACGATAAATTATTTTGAAGGTTTCAAAGAATAAATATTAAATAAGGGTGTTTTAATAAAGCTAGACACAAAACAAATTGTTTGTTTTTAAATTTATTAAAAATAATGAAAATGATCTCTTTGATGGTTTTTGTTGAAGCATCATCCTTATCAAAATTCGTTTATCCTAAGGCTAATTTAAGAAAACATAATAATAAACAATTGAAATTTTCCAAAAAATTAAAAAAAATCTCACTTTGAGTTTAAAAATTATCGAAGTTGTGTGTTGTTGTTTTGTTATTTTTTGAAGTGTGTCCTTTGACACTTCTCTAACGTGTCGTTTAATTTTAAAAATTTCTGCTTCGTTGCGTATTTCAAGCTTATGGGCAAAATAACAAAGCCACCAAGAACAACCAAACAACTTCAAAAAACCCAAAATCGCAAAATGAAAAATTTTACACACACTCTCTGAAAAGTATAATACGATGAGTAGTGGTACAATGCGATTGTTGTAAAATGGTCTTTGTTCGTTGTATCTGTGTTATACATGTCGTTGATGCTATTTTCTTACACTTGAGTAGCATTATTACAATACAGAATTTTTACTTCATGAAAAAGAGAACTTATAGATACATATTCCAAAGGACATACACACACACACACACAAATAATCACTGATATGAATGAACATAATCAACACAATCAAACAAACCATACTCTCATCATCTTCCAACTCCTGCTCCTCCTTCAATATACTTTTTGCTCATCTTTAACACTTTAACAGTTTAATGTTTTTGTAAAAGTGTTGGTGTAACTGGGTGTTGTGTGTGTGTGTGTGTGCCTTTAGTTATGGTGTTGTTCTTGACGGGTTTATTTTTCGAAATACAATAGACCATAGATAGCTACGATAGCTATAAAAACAATTGCTGCACTGATTTCGCACCATAACCCTGAGGCTGTAATTTGTATGATTGTGCTTTTTTTTCCAGTTTACTCTCTTTTAGTTCTTGAGGACACAATTTAAAATTTTTGATTTTGCCTTTAGGCCATTGTTTTGATTTCTTTGTGTTCGCAATTCATTAAAATTTCACAATGAAATGTTTTATGAAGGACTTTTTTTCGAAAGTTTGTAGAAAAGGATGATATTAAAATTTTAAGAAATGTTTGTGGAATTTGACTGTGAATTTTGATTGGAAAGACAGCTAATGCAATAGTTTTTAAATAGTTCAAGTCAATTTAATAATTCCTAAAAAAGATTTTTGGGTTTCAAGGCATTTTTTATCATAATCTATTTTAAGAGATGATATGATGCTCCTATATTTCTTTACAGATGGTTCTGAAATGAACTGTGATATTGGTTCTGATGATTTCTGTGAAGAATCTGGGATAAGCATATCTCACCGACTTCCCAATAACTGTAGTGTCCTTCAGGCTGAAATATTCGCGATAATGTCAGCTCGTAGGGTACTACATGACCTCAATATTCGAGACAACATAGGAAATTTTGTCGATAGTCAAGCGGCACTTCTCTCACTTAATTCTTATACTACCAATTTCCTATTAGTTAGACAATGCAAGAAAGATCTGTCAAGGCTGGGTCGCCTGTCTGACATTACCCTTGTTTGGGTCCCTGCACATATTGACTATAATGGTAATCAACAGGCAGATGAGACGGGATCTGCTCTTGATATCTAAAACGCCGTTCCAGTAGCAATCCCGTTAGGTTTTATCAAGAGTAGTACTCTCAGATTCTATCTTCAAAAGGGTAAAAATAGATGAAATAACCTAGACATGTGTAAAGGGGCCAATATATTGTGGCCCTCCTTCAATGAGAAACTTAAGCTTAATGACATCCTGAGATTTCTCACTGCTAAAGGCTGGATCTAATACTATACAATACTACATCTGACGAGTGGAGTGGTCCGCTCAAAACGGAGTCTCTTCGACTCTACTTGACTGTTCGTGTGCAGTGAACTACCATGTTAACCAACCAACCTAGATCAGGTCAGAGGTCTCCCAAACTCTTTTGGGTAACCAACTTCGGCATGATTTTCTCAATCTAAAAGATCATTTTCCATGTAGCTTTCTCATTAAATTTGGAAACTAAAAATATGTTTGTCTCACGCACCACTGGTGTATGCTTAGTTAGATTACGATCAATATGTTGTACTCTTATTTCTTTCTATCTCTTGACTGATACTTTGGAATGATGCCGTAATCCTACAGGGTCCCTTGAACCATTACATCCCATGTTTGGACTGGGAAAACTGAACCTTCTCTTACTACGTCTAAGATTTGAAATCATTACATAGATTTCTTTCCTCCGGTCGTATAACCTGATATCTGAAACTCAATCTCAATATCTGAAACTTCAATCTTTTACATTTTTCAATCGATCTTATTTACGTCTCAAATAAAGTATGGTTTCGAGCTTAAATCAAACCAGAAGTTCTCAAATTAAGTACATTGTAAGATCACTTCGGTCCTAAAAAGACTTAAATTAGGTCTTAACGGATCCGTACTTGAATCAAGTATTATGTACTTGATTTTAGTAAAACCATACTTATTGCACTATTATCACTGTTCCGGACTGATACAGGATCAATCTGATCAATCTTTCCCACTTGTTCGTTGTGATTCAATCGATACAACTTAATTTATATCGAAAAGATTAAGAATATACACTGAAAACATCCAAGCATAATATATGTATAAGAAAACCGTCGTAACTATTACGAAATGTTTCCGAAAATTTTAACAAAATTTAAAAGGTTTCCTCTAATAAAATAATTTCGTAAAATAAAAGAAAGTTTCTTGAATATTACGAAATAATTTTACTTTCTTTAAAAGTGCATGTATTAATGAAGAAGTTTTCTACTACTTACGCAAAAAGAGGTTACGGAACAATTTCTGAGTTTAGTTAAAACAAAAACAATTAAAAATATTTCGTATTATTTCATTCAAGATTAATACATTAACTAATGATATTTAAACTTAATAACTATTCCTACTCAAAATATTTCTCTTTACAAGTTTCTAAATAAATTTCATTTTCTTATTCTTTACAGGATACAGTTCAAATGCCTTAAGTAGTGTTGGTGTCAGTGTTGGTAAATCCTCATTGGATCCACACACACATCTAAGACAACCTGGTAAGTAACAAGTTTCAAACTAAATAAATAACATTTTAACTAATTTTTAAAGAATTCTACACAAACTTTTGCAAAATTCAAACAAATCTATTGATTTTTTTTCACATTTCTAACTTTCCCCCTTAAAAATTTCTGCCACTTTTTATTAAAGTTTTTTTTTTCTTCGTAAGAAACTCCACAAAAAAAATGTAGTAGTATGGGCTTAAGTGACACTTGAAAAGAAACAAATAATGCCTTAAATACCCCCTTCAACAAAAAAAGAAGCAAAATTCACATTCACAGAAGTAGAAGAAGCAACAACAATACAATCATGTGGCACTTGAAACGCATTTGCGGCAATGACACATAAAAATAATACGATACTCGTACAAATCATTGAAAAAATTTTAAACAATTTTTTTGTTGTCATTGTTCTTGTTTAAAATCATACAATCTACAAATGTTTTGAGTTGTTGTAGTTATTTTTTGTATGATTATTGTTATTACTAGAGAGACTGACTACATACTTTTATATGGTTAGAAAGAAAGGACCTTAAATATTTATTTCTATACAATAAATGCGTTTGAATATTAGTATGAGAGAGTGTGTGTGTGAGCATATTTGTGTGAATGTATTGAATTGTAATGAAATGGCAATTGAGCTAGAAAATAAAATGTGGCAAAAAGAAATAGAAAAACCTTAAATACTTGTACATGTTTACAATGTACAATTAGAATGGTAGAAAATAGAACAAAATCGTGTAACAACAACAACAATAACAAAACAATTGAAATGAAATGAACACAATATTGTTTAATACTCTGCTTTTTCAATGTATTACATTTGATTTCAGTTTTTTTGTTTTGTTTTTGTGTTTTGTGACTTAATGTGATGTCGACCTGTCAAATTTTGACGGTCACGAGTAACTTTTTACAATAAAACCGTAAAACATACAAACGGCGCGGCGTATGAAAAAGTTATTAAAGAAATTATTGTAGTTTTTGTAGATATACACTCGGTGACAAAAAAAAATTATAATATACTATTACATATGTAGTTGTAAATGAACTCATATTGGTTCTTCGGATCTACTTTTGTAGTGACAAATAACATTTGATATCTCTTTTACACAAGTCAGTTCTGAATCCTAATAAAAACATAGACTCGTTTTGATCAAAGACAATTAAACTTTTACATTGAATTGTATTAATGTAATTGATGTAAAAGTTTCTTCATATCTAACAGCAACCATTCAAAAATATTTAGTTGTTTACATTACTTGAACATATCTATTCGAAATATTTCTAAAAACGCTTGGAAATACCAACGATCAGTAGTTTACTAAGTCACTTCTGAATCCTAATAAAAACACAGAGTCGTTTTAATCAAAGGCGATTAAACTTTTACTTCGAATTGTATTAATATTATTGATGTAAACATTTCTGCGTTACTGCAAACATTTAAAAATATTTAGTTGATTACATTATAATGGCAAATCTTTTTGAAATGTTTTTAAATTCGCCTGGATATACCAAAGATCAGTCGTTAACATAAGTCAGATCTGGATCTTAATAAAAACAGACTCGTTTTGATCAAAGGTGATTAAACTTTTACATCGAATGGTATTAAAATAATTGATGTAAAAATTTCATCGTGTTCAACTAAAACCATTGAAAAATATTTAGTTGATTACATTACATAAATTAACTTATCTCTTCGAATCGTCAACGATCAGTTGTTTAGTAGTCACTTAGGTTAGGTTACGTGGGTTACTCGCAACTTAGCAAGTCCACTCGGAGGCCATGTAACCTATTGTGATACTTCTCCCTTCTTCGTCCAAACAGCTTCTACATTAGCTATAACGTAGGTAGCCCATACGTTCCGACATAGGTATGTCCAGTTAGAAGCCTAATCGAGTTCTTACTACGAGACAAGAGAGTCCTAGTCCTATTCGTTGTCAGAATGGGCCAGAGCAGTCTCGGTATTCTACAAGTGGTGATATTTGACCACCTGAGTTCCGTCTTACTCAAAGCTCAGTCATCTATCAATTTCGATAGGGTCACTAAGGGAGTGTGAATATCCCTTTGCTCAAGGGTTAATTCTAAGGACGACCCTTTAGTTGCGCACTCATCAGATGCCCTCATGTCCTGGAACCCAGATCAACTCAACATGACGTTGTATTGGTTGTGCCAATGATTGAATACAAATGAGAAGACATTTCGTCTTAATAACATTGGAGTTAAGAGCCTTGATTGATGCAAGGCTGTCCAAGTATATATGTATATATAGTGGAATTTTCGAGATTTAGTTCCCGGATTCTTCTCGCGGCTGTATCGATGGCATATCTCTCTGCCTGCCTTGGTCAAAACACAAAACTTCTTTGCAATATCTCTTATAAATCTTTCCACTTGGCTGTTTTACAGTCGCCGCGTGTAAAATTTAATATTTACCAGAAATAAAAAAGTGTAACCAAAATATTATACACAAATCAAAAAACTGAAAAAGAAGTGTGTGCGAATATATGATGATGATTGACTGACTCATAAATGCAAGATTGTATTGTGTTTATTTTCCGAGTGAGTGTGTGTGAAAGTGAACAAATATGACGCGTGGCAAAAAAGTGAGTTTTTTAGCTTTGAATACACGCGACACATTAGCTACAGCTCAGCAGAAAACAAAACAAAACAGAAACGCACTATATTAAACAATGAAAATGTTTAACAACTCAATGAAAAGGAAACAAAACTAACTAAATAGAAAACAAAGAAATATTCATATTTAAACACAATTTTTTTTGCCTGGGCAGGATTATGTTGGAAAATTTGCTTAAAAAACTATTTTACACACAATAATATAGTTGTTGTTTAATTTAAATTTCAAAATCCAACACAAAAACACAACTTTACCTACGACGAAAAAAAAAACCAAAACAAAACTAAAATGTTAAGACGGAGACGGAAACATAGTCAACGCGCGTATTAAGGAAATATAACCTTCCTGTTAAGTATTTTTTGTGGGTTTGTTGTTGTTGTTTTTGTTTTGTTTTTTTATTTTGCTAATGTTACTGTTTAAATTTAAAATTTATTTCACTAAATGTTAAATTCAGACACTGAAACGAATATAGAAATTGAAATGTAAATGAAACGATGCACTTCAACTTGTGTATAATACATAATAAGAAAACATGCAAATGTTGTTGCTGTTGAAAACAATAAAATAAAATAAATGTGTGTTGCAAGTATAATTCTTGCCACGAGTAGGTTTCTGCAAATGTATAAGAGTGAATGGAGTGTGTTACAAATGTATAAATGAATGATTGTGTACTAAACTTTTTAATAAAGTACCATAAACAAACACATACATACAAATGTGTAGGTAAATATTGTTGATGTTTGTTTCTTTTTTTCTGTAGCAAGCTTTTAAAAAAATGAAACAAAACATCAACATTCGTTAAAAAACTAACGAAACATTACAATAAAAACACTCGACAAACATTATAATACATCTATAGCTAAACATATACTGATATACATATTCATATTCATACATTCATATATTTAAGCTTATATGTAAATGTCTAAATGTGTACAAGTGCCACGCCCTAAGTGCTCTTGAAATGAAAATAATGTGTAAAATTGCTAAAAATTATTATGATTATTATTATTTGGTAGTATTTAGTTCAGCTTGGTTTCTTCATTTATTCCTACTTCCTATTGTTATCCATTAAAATAAAACAATTCCAACAAATAGAAGAGAACACAAAATATCCATTATAACACATTTTGGTTAAAATATACTCGTGCCACCACCGGCCACTTGTACTTATATGGTACTTGTGGACATTTCAAGTTTTTTTTTTTTTTTTTGAAACAAATTCTTTATGATTTATTTTCTGAAGCTTTCAAATACTTGTGCGTGATACTTTTAATTTAAGAGAGCTCTTACACCTACGCCAAAATATATTTTTCTGAGTGAGTTGTAATCCTTGAGTTATTTGGTACTAAAAAGTATGTTACACTTATTATAAGTTTTGGGGAAATACTGTATAATGGAAACTTTTTTTTGTTGTGACTACATTTCCTTTTAAACTATTTCTATATTGTAACAAATAAAACTCAAGTGTTCGTACTAAATAAGATTTTGTTAAAGGATTTTTGAAACAATGATCAAAAATTTGCTCAGTACACACTTATCAATGCAGATGGCTATGATGATCTTCATGAGAAAGTTATTACTTCTTATAGCTTTACGCTTGTATTTATAAAAAAATCTTATTTTGCTTTTAATGCACTCAATAGTTAAAGCACACTTTAGCCTTAAAAACCAATTATAAAATTGTGATATTCATAAACAAATAATAAACGTATATTAACTATTGTGCTGATTTATGTTTAAGTTGGCAGCACTGTACAATATGGCTGTCATTTTATGTGTTAGTGTTGCGTACAATTAGGATAAAATATTCGTTGATTCGGTTTTCTTAATTTCATATTTTTGTTTATAATAGATTTTTGTCAATAAAAACAAACTTTTAAGAAAAATAAATATATATATGGCTTTAATAAATGTCTATTTAGTTCAGATGTATAAATATAACATATAATTTCTAATTATTATTAAAAGTATCCGAATAACGGATATTTTGCGACAAAATATACATCACTATGACACATTTTCTTATTTTTACTTATTTTCCTTGTAATTTTTGATAAATTTTTGCAAATATTGATAAATTTCTTTGATATTTGACTAATTTTAATGCCGGCGAATATATTTTGCATTAGTATAACACTAATCAATATAATTTACATGGTTAATTACTTTATGCCATTATATTTAACCAACAAACTTTGAAAAAGCCAAATCAAATGATTTTGTCCATCATTTGGTTGACAGACGGGCACTTCCAAATTGCCTAAAAATAGTGCTGGACAATTAGAATATTGTCAAATATTCATGCATTAATCCAATAATGCCTAGATTTGAGTTTTTTCCTCAAAATATAATCGTTTAAAAATTTTCTGGGATTTTATTTACAAATTTGTAAACGTTAAAATTAGAATTTTTAGATTTTATTTTAAAAGAAACCATAATTAGTTTTCGCAATCAACCTAAAATTACCGGAAAAATCTTTATCTGAGAAAAAAATTGTTAAAAATCAAGTTATTGTTGGCTTAAAGAAGGGTCGAGCCTACAATAAAATTCTTCTAATTGTCAATGGTTTATTGAAGGTGTTTTAAGCTATTTCACGTTTATAAATACGATTTTCCTGAATTTTGCCTAAAATAAGTTTTTATAAATACAGCCGTTAAAAGTTAGTGCCTTCATTCTTAGAAGCGGTATTCACTCATCATAATTGTATATTTTAAAAATCAACTGTCCATCGGACTTATTAGTATTGTACTAATTGATAAGTATAATTTCATAAGTTTTCTCAGTTCCCGATCTCCTATGATATTTGACATTCTTCTCATGTGCTATCTGGCAAAGAAAGATGGGAATCAAGCTGAGGATGAAGAGTGCCGTTGTTTTCCAGTTCTAAGATTAACGACTCAAAGTATTAAAGATATCTGAAAGATAAAGGTGATAGATGATGAGTAAATTCGGCCTCTAAAAATGAAAGGACAAAACTTTTAAAGCTTGATGCCGATCTTTCTTAGTCCGATCGCCCATGAGAAGAATATCATTTAAAAATTAACTTGAACTTTGCCGGTTGTGATCGAATAATGTTATAAATAATCATTTCTTTTGAATAGTAGGATTGTTGTTGTAGTGTAGGTATTAATTGAAGTCACGATACCTAGACTGATAGAACTAGAATACTACCAATTAGTACAATAATGCGTTCCAGAGAGAATAATTTGTATTTGACGTTGATGGGCAACAAATGATCACATATTCCGTACCCACAGTTCTATATTCAATCATTCTGGTTCAATCTGAAATAAATCACATATATATCATTTGAAACACCTTACATTTGCCGTTTATTTATTTCAATTTCAAAAATTCAGAATAATCTAATTTTTTCAGATTTGATCTCATTTTTCTTAACAATCATTATGATGTTAATGAAAACCTAAATCGGAAATTCTCATGACTGAATAATACCAGAAAAAAGAGACCACTCTGCGATACACATCGAAAATTAACGCACGAAAACTTTTGCCGATGTACAAAAGAAGTCGTATGTGAAAGCGTATAATATAGAAAATTTGTTGTTGTTGTTGTGAAAGTTCAACTGTGGCCGATAGTTCTTTTCTGGTTATAAATTGCCTCTGAGAACTCTGGTCATACGCCCGTTGTAGTGAAAACAAACTGGCGGAAATCGAACTCACGGGCCCCAGATTGACTGGCAATCCTCTCCTCTTTTTGGAGAGTATATTACCTAACAACCAATATGATGTTAATAATAACTTCAATCGAAAATTCCTATGACGTAAATGATAACCTAGACATTGTATTTAGGTTTTCAGTCTGAATATTAACAGAACAAAGAAACCAGTTCATTGATTTCTAGTTCTAGTTCTTTTCTGGAGATAAATTTACTCTGTCCGCTGTCATACGCCTATTGTAGTGAAAACAAACTGGTAGAAATCGAACTCACGGACCCCAGATTGGCTAGCAAACCTTTCCTATTTTGAAGACTATATTAACACATTGATTTATACAATTAGTATGAAACCATATCTGATAATATCAATTCCTAATTTATTCTTATAATGACTCATTCTAAAAAATTCCTTAATTTCTGTTCAAAATTAAACAACAATAGTATTTTATGTAAATTAAGTTCATTCCAACATAATTAATACTTTTTCTTATATTACATTACAGATCCATATCAAATGTTTGGACCAACAAGCAGTCGTCTAGCAAGTTCAGGTAAGTTAAATCATTACCAAAAACCAGGTGCTTGAAATAAGCAAAGCATGACCAAGCAAGCAAGAGGGACACGTGCTAAAAACACTTGACACAAGGAATTTAACTTAACGAGGAGGTCTTAGAATGATAAAAACAGATTTATAGATAAAGTTTTTTACAATAAAAATCGTATATTAGCATAAATATAAAGCAGCTCCAAAAACTATTTACATGATATTTGAATAATAAGTTAACAGAAAGAAAGAAATCTACCCTTTTTACCGGGGAAATAGTTTTAATTTTTGTTTTAAACAAAAGTTTATGACTTTGAAAATAACACCTTTTTCTGGCTGTCTAATACAAACTCTGAATAATAATCAAATTATATCCCTTTAATAGTTGGAAAAGAAAGGTGTTTTTTGTAGGGCTGGGAATAGAAATTAAACGTTAAGGGTGTGTAGCTGAAAATACAGGCCAACATTATTATTTAATATTGAAATAAATAAATTTGTATGTATTTTTTATTGTCTTGTTTTTTTTTTTTTCATTCGAAAGAAACTAAATTAATGCAGACACGTGATCATATATGGATCGGCTTATTAAAGGGTTAAAATGCCCAAGTATAATTTTATTTGCAAAGTCATCAATTATGTTAACTTTACATATTTTATTATTTTTAAGGAGTGAAATTAATGATTGTGCTTTTGTTGTTTTTTTGCTACATTAAAAATTCATTACACCTTTTAGAAAAGTAACGGGTTAAATATTGCTTAAGAGATTCAACAAATCCTGTTTAAAGTGGGCGTGATTAACGGAAAAATACCAGTAATATTAATCATAAATCAAATATATAATAATTTTTTTTTAGAATTTTAACTTGGGAATATATAAGGCATAAGAAAATTTTCCCACAATTTTGTATGGGAAAATTATGTATTTAATGTGATTCAGTTTCAGAGATACAATTTTTGTTAAAAATTAAGTGCTCTAACAATACCAGTTTTAAAAACATCTATTTAAAATTTACTATTACATGTAAATATTTATTATTATGTACAAATGTATGTATATAAAAACTTGTTTATTTTTGGCCGAATATTTTACACAAATATATAGACCGGAATTAGCATAAAAACCAAATCGCCCTCCATTTTCCGACGCGACATATAAATGGTTTATTTCTCCCACAACTAAATATTATTTTCCTTCTACCATATTTTATTCTATTCATTTTATTTACTATTTTTAAACAAAAAAGAAATACATACTTAAGGTAGAGAAAACATTTTTGTATATGATTTTATTTTTCCTTTCGTTTTACAACACATTTTACATGAACTCTACGTGCTTTGCAAAATCAGTTCCCCATATAACACGCGAAATAAAGTTGCAAATACTAAGTTGAAAATTTGAAGTAAAACTATGACTAAATCACCTTAACAAACTAAAATCCAAACTACTTTCATGATTATATACTTATGTAAAGAGTTGTTGTACGCTTGTGATTGTTGGGTAGGGGAGAGATTTTAAATGTTTTAGTTTTTTTATATTTTTCTGTTCACATTGTAGAAATTGCCACTGTTGTGTTTTGTGAGAAAGAATGATGGTGGCAAAAATGCTGTTTTGATTAATTATAGTTTCCTTAAAACACGGAACCGCTTTGTTACCTAAAGTCCGGTGCAACAATAATACATTGTTATAGAAAAAAATAAAAAATAAGAAAAATTTTGAACGGGAAAATAACAGCCACAATAACATACTAAAGATTCAGTGAAAATTTAAATGTTTTAAACATGCAACATGCAGTTTGAACATAAAGAAACAAAAATTTAAATTATTGCCATTTCAAATGTTTTTTAAGCACAATTGCAACTTTCAACATTTTGTTTGTGGTATTAAGGTATTTCCATTTCCATTTTATGTTTTTAATAAAGAAATTAAAAGAATAAATCGAAACATGTCAGTTTTAAGAATAAGATTTTACATTCACTTAAGTGATTGCTGTAGGATAATACTATATCGTGGAATATTCAATGATTAGCTGTTCAGAGTCGATTTAGAACTTCAGTGGCATTCACTCGAAACATTTCTGTGTTTGATCAATTAGTAAAATTTCTCAAACGGTACATTTCTCTCGAAATGTTGTATATTTGAAATATTTTCCCATTTTTATTGATCATCGGTTATTTAACTAGACTATAGCCTATAGTCCAGTCTATAGAATAGACTATAGACTAGACTATAGACTAGACTATAGACTAGACTATAGACTAGACTATAGACTAGACTATAGACTAGACTATAGACTAGACTATAGACTAGACTATAGACTAGACTATAGACTAGACTATAGACTAGACTATAGACTAGACTATAGACTAGAATATAGACTAGACTATAGACTAGACTATAGACTAGACTATAGACTAGACTATAGACTAGACTATAGACTAGACTATAGACTAGACTATAGACTAGACTATAGACTAGACTATAGACTAGACTATAGACTAGACTATAGACTAGACTATAGACTAGACTATAGACTAGACTATAGAACTAGACTACTAGACTATAGACTAGACTATAGACTAGACTATAGACTAGACTATAGACTAGACTATAGACTAGACTATAGACTAGACTATAGACTAGACTATAGACTAGACTATAGACTAGACTATAGACTAGACTATAGACTAGACTATAGACTAGACTATAGACTAGACTATAGACTAGACTATAGACTAGACTATAGACTAGACTATAGACTAGACTATAGACTAGACTATAGACTAGACTATAGACAGACCTATAGACTAGACTATACTAGACTAAGACTAGACATAGACTAGACTATAGACTAGACTATAGACTAATAGACTAACTAGACAGACTATAGACTAGACTATAGACTAGACTATAGACTAGACTATAGACTAGACTATAGACTAGACTATAGACTAGACTATAGACTAGACTATAGACTAGACTATAGACTAGACTATAGACTAGACTATAGACTAGACTAAGACTAGATAGACTAGACTATAGACTAGACTAGACTAGACTAGACTAATATAGACTAGACTATAGACTAGACTATAGACTAGACTATAGACTAGACTAGAGATAGACTAGACTATAGACTAGACTATAGACTAGACTATAGACTAGACTATAGACTAGACTATAGACTAGACTATAGACTAGACTATAGACTAGACTATAGACTAGACTATAGACTAGACTATAGACTAGACTATAGACTAGACTATAGACTAGACTATAGACTAGACTATAGACTAGACTATAGACTAGACTATAGACTAGACTATAGACTAGACTAGTAGACTAGACTATAGACTAGACTATAGACTAGACTATAGACTAGACTATAGACTAGACTATAGACTAGACTATAGACTAGACTATAGACTAGACTATAGACTAGACTATAGACTAGACTATAGACTAGACTATAGACTAGACTATAGACTAGACTATAGACTAGACTATAGACTAGACTATAGACTAGACTATAGACTAGACTATAGACTAGACTATAGACTAGACTATAGACTAGACTATAGACTAGACTATAGATTAGACTATAGACTAGACTATAGACTAGACTATAGACTAGACTATAGACTAGACTATAGACTAGACTATAGACCTAGACTATAGACTAGACTATAGACTAGACTATAGACTAGACTATAGACTAGACTATAGACTAGACTATAGACTAGACTATAGACTAGACTATAGACTAGACTATAGACTAGACTATAACTAGACTATAGACTAGACTATAGACTTAGACTATAGACTAGACTATAGACTAGACTATAGACTAGACTATAGACTAGACTAGACTAGACATAGACTAGACTATAGACTAGACTATAGACTAGACTATAGACTAGACTATAGACTAGACTATAGACTAGACTATAGACTAGACTATAGACTAGACTATAGACTAGACTATAGACTAGACTATAGACTAGACTATAGACTAGACTATAGACCTAAGACTAGACTATAGACTAGACTATAGACTAGACTATAGACTAGACTATAGACTAGACTATAGACTATACTAGACTAGACTAGACTAGACTATAGACTATAGACTAGAACTATAGACTAGACTACTAGACTAGATAGACTATAGACTAGACTATAGACTAGACTATAGACTAGACTATAGACTAGACTATAGACTAGACTATAGACTAGACTATAGACTAGACTATAGACTAGACTATAGACTAGACTATAGACTAGACTATAGACTAGACTATAGACTAGACTATAGACTAGACTATAGACTAGACTATAGACTAGACTATAGACTAGACTATAGACTAGACTATAGACTAGACTATAGACTAGACTATAGACTAGACTATAGACTAGACTATAGACTAGACTTTAGACTAGACTATAGACTAGACTATAGACTAGACTTTAGACTAGACTATAGACTAGACTATAGACTAGACTATAGACTAGACTATAGACTAGACTATAGACTAGACTATAGACTAGACTATAGACTAGACTATAGACTAGACTATAGACTAGACTATAGACTAGACTATAGACTAGACTATAGACTAGACTAGACTAGACTAGACTAGACTAGACTAGACTAGACTAGACTAGACTAGACTAGACTAGACTAGACTAGACTAGACTAGACTAGACTAGACTAGACTAGACTACTAGACTAGACTAGACTAGACTATAGACTAGACTAGACTATAGACTAGACTAGACTATAGACTAGACTATACTATAGACTAGACTATACTATAGACTAGACTATACTATAGACTAGACTATACTATACTATAGACTAGACTATACTATAGACTAGACTATACTATAGACTAGACTATACTATACTATAGACTAGACTATACTATAGACTAGACTATAGTCTAACTCTGGTCAGATTTGATGGGAAAAACGTTAAATTGGCAACATTGGAAGTAAATTATAATGCCCGCCTGAAGAAAAGAAACAGAAATAGATTTGAAGGGGAAGTGTCCTTCGAAGAACATTTTAATAGCCATTCTATTCCTCCGACAAAATCTGGAACCCTAAGTTCTTCGTAGAGTCTTCTTCCTAGCAATCTTAGACTGTATACTGACGCTATGAACCTAAATGAAGTATAAATTGTTAAAAAATAACAAAACTAGACTGGACTTATGTTCATTTCAAGTTTCATTATAATATATCGGAAGTTATTTACCCTTGGCCTTTTAAATATGTATGTAAACTATTATGGTACCAATTTTTAATTTATAAAGCTAATTACTTTGTCTTAAACTTAATCACTACATAATTTTTGGACATTTTTAGTATTTTCTTATAGTAATTATAAAAAAACCATTTAGCTCATGTTTTTAAAACACTTGGCAGGAATTAAACAAAAAATGCAAAAAATTAAAAAACGAGTCAAAATAGCAAGATTACAACAACTAATTATTTCCGTAAAAGCATTTAAGTTAAACAAGTTTTTTCTTTACTATTTTTCCATTTACTAAAAATTAAATTAACATTTTTTTCCTACTTCCACAAAGTTAAGATCAAAGGCAAAGCCCTCTTTTAATAGTTGCTACCCATTTCTTACAGCAAAGTAAGTTTCCAGCAAACAAAGTCTAAGCAGTAGGAGGTAGCTACAAAAATATATTGTATATCTACTACATACATACAATATTTATACATTCGTATATACAACTCATACAATATGCTAATTCTTGGTAGTATAAAGGCAAAACAAAATGGCGTTAGACGTCTGTATAATACTTTAAAATAACTAAAAAGTTCCCACTACTCTTTGCCAACAAATATGGCGGGTGTATGAAATTTTAGCTTTAAAGCTAAAAGAAAAATAAGGAAAATGGAAAAAACAATTTGCCATAAAGACGGCTGAAAGAAGGCAAATAATGTTGCATGTTGGTAATTAAAATATTACCAACATGCGTTTGTTAAGTTAAAATTACTTTCCGTTTTCTTATAGACTTTAGGAAAAAACAAAGTTAAATCTTTAAATAGCAACAAAAAGAAGAGAAACAGCAACTAAACTGTATAAAGGACGGAAATCAAAATTAGTGCAAGTGTTGGTGAAATATTTAAATGAGTCCTGCCGCTACTGTTGCTTAAAAAAGGCAATTGCTTTCAACACTTTCATGTAACGAAATAGGTTTTTTGTGTAAAATTAAATGTTAAAAATATTAAAATATTTTTCAGGCCACATTAGAAACCATTAAATAGCACGTGCTTTATTTTACAAAATTACAATTCAATTGAACTAAACTTTTTTTAGAATTTATATATCTTTGAGATTTCTACAATTAACACAATATTCATACTAATTTTGTTGAATTGCACACTTGAGTTGTGTTTCAAACTCATCTAAGCATTTAGAAAACACTTAATTCTTACTTTACACTCTCTCCTCTCTGTTTCTTGCCACATATTTTTATTTATAACTGGAAGTTTGAAGGGTTGTTTCAAATTTTGTCCTATGTATTCATTGTCTGTCTTCTGTGCCACCCTTTAGGTACAAACTTTCGTACTTCTAATTGCCAAATGATTAAGCGATTTATGATGTTCATCAGTGAAGTCTTTTGAAGTGCGTAACGAATCGAATAATGTTTCATCAAGTTGTTTAAAATTATTTGCGGTTGCCTTTAATGTCTTTAAATATGTGTGATTTATTTAGCCTCGGGCTTAATACATTCTGTTTATTACTACTCACAAGTGTTTTGTAATTTTGTTTATACAGATTTTGTAAATTATATAAAGAAATACATAAACAAAACTATGGGTGGTCCAGATTTTTGGGAACACTTGTTGAGAAGCTTTTTTAAATTTCTATCTTTTTGCGAAAATATCTAAAGGTTTTGAAAAGATTTTCTAGGTTTGTTAGGAAAATAACATCTGTTGGGTTTACTTCTTTGTAACTGTTTTCCTTTTACCTTAATGGTGGAACGAATCTTGCAACGAATATCCAATAGTTATCATTATCAAATAAAAAATTGTTTCAAAATTTCCTTGGGTTTGATAAAATATTACCAAACTTATAAAACCTCGAAAATTATTAATCCTTTTGGGTTTGAACATTCAAAACACGCAAGAGAGGGAAATAAATTTAAAATGTAGGAGAATTACTGGATAGTTTTCAGATTATCATTCTGGAACCACAAACAGCTTAACAACTTAGAAAATACTGAAGACAGATTGTCAACCTTTATAACTATATAACTTCTGTCGAGTTTATATCAGATCTTTTTCCTGCAAGTTATGCAGACTTACGGAAGAATTTTCGACTAACTATAATACTTATATTCCAAATAGAACAGATGGGGAAGTATGTACTAGGAGATTATGAATTAAACTTTATGAAATGACTTTTTGTGAATGAATTCTTCTTCTTGCTTTCATACTTTACGGGCATTTTTCTTGGATCGGAAACCTAATGAACTTATTTGAAATTGTTGTCGCTAGTTCATATTCCATAATCTATATAGGCTTTATTATTACCCACTATTATTAATGATGGGGGAAATTTTATATTGTAATTCAGTTTGTAGGTTAGGTTAGGTGGTTGTTCGCTAGTTAGCGAGTTCACTCGGAGTCCATGTGACCCTTAGAATTATCATTCGCTTATGTTGAGAGTTTGTATATAATGAATGGTTTCCCTCCCGAATTTCGTTGAATATATGGTTAATGCGGTCCCCGTGATAAAAAGTCGGTATTTCTAATAAAACCGATCATATTTACTAGTGACGACTCAGACAGTCAAGATCATGGAAAAGAGATCTACCAATATTAAGTAGTCTGTGCTTTTGCAACATAGATGGTGTTGTACCTCTTATGTTGAGAGTTTGTATATAAAGCAGAATGGCTTCCCTTCCGAATTTCGTTGAATATATGGTTTCTGCGGTCCCCGCGATAAAAAGGCGGTGTTCCTAATAAAACCGATCATATTTACTAGTGATGTATCTCTGAGACAGTCCAGATCATTGAAAAGAGCTCTACCAAGATTAAGTAGTCTGTGCTTTTGTAAGGCTGGATAATCATAATAATAATCTTATCCAAACAACTTCTGTAATAGCTATAACGTGGGTGACCCATACGCTAGTCCTATCCATTGTCAGAGTGGGCCAGAGCAGTCTCGATATTCTATTCTAGTGGTGATATTTGACCACCTGAGTTCCGTCTCACTCCATGCTCAGTCATCTATCACTTTTAATAGAATCGCCAGGGGAGTGTGAATATTCCTTTACGCAAGGGTTAAGTCTAGGGACGACCCTTTTGTTGCGCATTCATCAGATATTTCATTTCCCCGTGCAGGTGTCACATAGTCGAAGATCCAGTTTTTCGGAGAAAATTTAACCCCCCCCCCCCCCTTGTTGTCTTTGAACCATCAGTATATATTGAGATCTCGTTATCCCTTAGGATAGTGTTTGCGGACCAATCATCCCTTGTCAGTACTCTGATCTTAAATGAACTATTAAACATCAGTGAATTCGGTTTGTAACATATCGCAATATTGATCGCAGACCAATAGCAGTATACATATTCTGAGTCCTAACTATATTCTAAGCCAAGCTAGCCATGTCTTACCGTATTTATGTCTATATATCTTGCTATTAAAAATACGATAGGACCTTTGTCGAAATAAATGTCAAAAGAACAGATCTATAAAGTCCTAATATAGGTCCGCTTTCCAGAATTCTCCATCAATTCACGACACATATTTTCATTTAAAGGTTCTTACTAGTTCATTACTTCTCGAAATGATGACTATTTCAAAAACTTTATATAACTGATTTTTAACCTAAATATAATTTTAAACTCTTAAATACTTTTTTACCATTTCAGGTTCTGGTCAAATACAACTTTGGCAATTTTTATTAGAATTACTTTCCGATTCCGGCAATGCTGGCTGCATAACATGGGAGGGAACAAATGGAGAATTCAAATTAACCGATCCAGATGAGGTAGCCCGAAGATGGGGCGAACGTAAATCAAAACCCAATATGAATTACGATAAATTAAGTCGTGCTTTAAGGTAAGAGAACAAAAGAAAAAACTAATTAATTACTTGTAAATTTTTAAATAATTAAGTGTTGATAATTACAGAAAAACAAACAATACAATCATAATAATAACAACAATAAAAACTATTTATATTTAAGGGTTGTTTAAATCAACATCACTAGGACTTAAGGGTATAAACCTCATTTAATAGCAAACAAGAAGAGAAATCATGACATTAGATAAAAAATACAAAAGCAGAATATAATGATGATAAACACTTAATTAGACAAGTTCTAATTTTCTTTTCTGCTTCAAAGAAAATGCGGTATTATTGTGACCTGCATAAATAATAGGGCATATGAAAAAAGAAAATCGCAAAATATGAGCATTTGTTTAGTCAAAGATTTTCCAGATAATTGAATCCAACCATTGATTAGTCTTATTGATTCATAATAGTGATTGCTATCTTAGTTTACACCCAAACCAAAAAAAAATCACATACAAAATAACTAATAAAATCCTATAAATTTACCCAAAATATTAGCAAAATTTAAGTTTCAGCTAAATAATAGAAATCCACCACTATTAAAGATTTTCAAACATGAAATTAGTCTCAAAGGATGTGTGAGCAAAGGTATACAAACTGAACCAAAGGGGGCATGAAATGTCATCATATGTCACAGTTTCTGTTAAGGTTTATTTATTTTCATTATTTGATTTGATTTTTATTTTCGTTTTATAGGTTAATGATAACAAATGTCTGGGCAACGTTTACATGTTCCTTGTTTTCGGTATTATTTGTACAAATCAAATTAGGCGGGCAACTGCTGAGAATAGAACTGGCAACTAAATTGAAATTGTAATGAAATTGCAAATGTAATAAAAATGTTTGTCAATAGTAGTAAAAGTAAACGTGAAATGAAAATAGAAAACAAAAATATGTTATTATAATGTGACCATAAATGACAATTTATTAAATTGTAAATGTTGTAATTATATTTCGAGCCGGGCAGAGTGTGTGTCTGTCTACCCATACCCCCCTTGATTTTTTTTTTTTTTTTTAATTTTGCAACTTTTGTTTAAAATTGATTGTTTTTTGCAAAATTAAATATCAACACTATTTCTTTGTCAAGGAACAGAACAACAAAAAGTTTACAAAAACAATTTCACCCGTACAGCAGCAACGAAAAAACATTGACAAACTATTGAAAAGCTCAACCCAACAACATTGAATGATAATTTATATCTTTTTTCAAAAAAAAAAAAATATTTTTCATTCACTCATTCATTCATTTTTTTATACCAGAAGCAGCAGCAGCAGTACTGTAGTAGTTGTAGTTGGGGGTCATTTCCGGTCCAAATGAATGGTTGAATGCAAAAAACAAAAAAGTGAACAGAGAAAAATTGCCAAAGAATGACAATATTTTTTTTATTGTGCAAATGTTTTCTCGTTGTTATTGTTGTTTTTTATTCAGATTTTTCTGTTTTATTTGTTGGAGCATTCCACAAAATTGGCACGAATTTAATTTGACATCAGTGACAATTATTGTTTTTATTTATATTTTAACAATAATGAAATTTTCTCCCCTCCGAAAAAGAAAAAAAAGTATAGTGAAAAAAGTTTTGTTCTTTTGTATGCAATTTAATTAAAACTAATTATGGAAATATGTTTGTGATAAGGAAGAAGGAAAACATTGTTGTTTAATATTTAAATCATGATAAATAAATTTAAAAGTATTCAAGGTTTAGAGATGGGAATAACAGCATAATATACCAACAAGATTTAGCATTTTATCCTTCATTTGGGATAAATATCTAATGACGAAGAATTTCACATGAAGATCTTGTATTCCCGACACTTCTCGACCTTTTCTGTCTTTAATCTCCAACACACTTTTCGACCTCTTATATTTTGCACATCAGATCTAGCCAAGCAGTGTGTGACTAGACTATGAATAGATTATGACTAGACTATGACTAGACTATGACTAGACTATGACTAGACTATGACTAGACTATGACTAGACTATGACTAGACTATGACTAGACTATGACTAGACTATGACTAGACTATGACTAGACTATGACTAGACTATGACTAGACTATGACTAGACTATGACTAGACTATGACTAGACTATGACTAGACTATGACTAGACTATGACTAGACTATGACTAGACTATGACTAGACTATGACTAGACTATGACTAGACTATGACTAGACTATGACTAGACTATGACTAGACTATGACTAGACTATGACTAGACTATGACTAGACTATGACTAGACTATGACTAGACTATGACTAGACTATGACTAGACTATGACTAGACTATGACTAGACTATGACTACTATAGACTATGACTAGACTATGACTAGACTATGACTAGACTATGACTAGACTATGACTAGACTATGACTAGACTATGACTAGACTATGACTAGACTATGACTAGACTATGACTAGACTATGACTAGACTATGACTAGACTATGACTAGACTATGACTAGACTATGACTAGACTATGACTAGACTATGACTAGACTATGACTAGACTATGACTAGACTATGACTAGACTATGACTAGACTATGACTAGACTATGACTAGACTATGACTAGACTATGACTAGACTATGACTAGACTATGACTAGACTATGACTAGACTATGACTAGACTATGACTAGACTATGACTAGACTATGACTAGGTAGTATTCTGTTCAATCTTTTGAAGATTGTAAATGTCCAGTTAGTTTCATATCATTTGTCTTTAATAATTTAAACCATATGTTATCAATCATAAATCAAAAATTCCACAAAACATAACCCCTTCTCAGATATGCCACTCTCTATTACTCTGATAAAACAAACATTTCTAATAAAACAAAAACAGAATCCTTTTAAATCCAATCAACAAATATAAATGCTTCATCAATTGAAAATTGCCAATTGTCGAAAATCATTTAATTTGGCTCCCTATTCTTATTTCAAACAAAACAAAATTGGCAAACATAACCTCAAACATACCTCGTCTTCTATGTAAGTATATGTGATCAAGTACACACATTTAAGGATAACAATAGCTTAGTGTATAATAAATAAAGAAATAGGAAAAAAAGGATTAAAATAAACCATTTCGTTGACACATACAAGTGTCCATCAAAAGCACATAAAGATACACAAACATGACACTACCAAAACAAATATTCCTTGCAATAGAATGGGGTATGAATATTTATACGAATATGTTTATGTGTGAGTAGTATGCATGATTAAACAAACAAAAGATGTAAAGATGTATTAAATGAAGCATTAAAGGACTTTGTTGGGATAATGGTAATACTCTGACTAAACACAATGATAAAAAGCTAAACATTATCCTTGTAAGAATGATAATGGAAGATGTGTTGATGGTTGCTGATTGCCAAAGATGTCAATGTAAAAAGTATTTCAAGTGTTAAAATGAAATACTTGTCTATTTGGTTAATTTTAACATATAAGAAAAAAAAACATCAAGTTACTTTTTAAATAAAAGCATTTGGTATAGATAAAAGAGAAAATCCCCCTTTTTTTTTAAAGAAAATCTAGGTTATATTTTGTTCTTTTTTTTTGGATTTTTTGATTTTATTGTAATTTATAAGGGGTTTTTTCTATTTAACACTTCTCTCTGATTTTGTGTCTGTTGGCAAAAATATTTATACAAAATGGAAATGTTAAGATGAAAGCTAAAAAGTTACTAAATTGCCTTTAACAAAAAGAAATCTTGTGCATTTGATTTGTTCCGTTTTATATGCTTGATTTCATTTTTTCCATGTATGTATAAATGTGTAAGTTGGTTGTTTTATTTTTTACTTTGTCTGGTAACAAAATCAATTTGTATTTTCTTTTAAGTTATTTTGGTTTATTTACTAAGTTAGCAATTGTTGTTTAAATATCTTTAAATCTTTTTTTATAAGATGATTGCACAGTGACAGTTAAATAAACAAGAGTAAATTTAAAAGGGTTATTTTTTGAAAAAAGGATTGAATTTTTTTGGTAAATTGGCCATATATGTATGTATTTAAGCTTGTTTACACTTTTGCGATACATTTAACAAACGGTCAATATGTTAAAATTTGGTAGAGTAAATAGAAGATCAATTGAAAATTCTATAACTGGCAACTAACTAGTCCACAAGGTATAGCTTTCACAAACTATTGATTTCATGTAAAGTTAAAAGTGACTTCTTTCTAGATCATTTAGGTTTCTTAAGGTATCTATTAACTTACCGCTAGATTACCTAGGGACACTGCTGTGGTTAATAGTAAAGAGCCAAACAAATAGTTAAACATTTAATTTTTTGATTAAAAAATCTCCTTAAAGTAAACTTCCTCAAACCTAAAGATTACTATTTGGGTCTTTAAAAAACCACAATAAACTTGATTTTTAATTTCCGTGATTTGCGTTATAACAATTAAAAAAATAATTATACTATAAACAACATAAAAATTATAATTCCACGCTAATTATTTATAAAACGAAGAAAACGTTAAAAAGAAAAAAAGAAAACAAAATTTGAGGTTTACTGCGTGTTAATTTTGACTTGACTTTTATACAGAAACAAAGAAAAAACCTCCCTAATTTCTACAAAGGTTACGCTTATTGTTGTGGTTGGTAACCCTTCCACCAGATGACAGTTTTATTGTATTTATCATCTTTTCTTTATACACATCTTTCATAAAATACAAACATTGTTTCTAACGGTTAGTGGTAATTTTACTTTATAATATGTATTATTCGATTAGTAGCTTTCAAATAATAAACACCTTTTATTCTTATATATATTAAAACAAGTCTTTTTATGTTTAATACAAACGAACATAACAGTGGCGACGAGGATAGTTTTTTTTATTAAAAAAAAAAAAAAGGAAAACACGCTCTACAAATACTGTCGGTTGTGAATAGTTTTTTTTTTATTTTATTTTATTTTTTTTTTTTTTGAATCAAAAACAAACAAAAAAAAATAAGAAATGGATCAAACCCTAAAG